TGCAATTGAACCCAGCTCCTACCCTAACTCCAGTGCTCTGGCCAGCAGGAGTCTCCTCAGTGCTGGAGCAGGAGAGATCACCACCTCCCAGTGACCATCCCCACCAGCTGGATGTTCCCGGCAGGGCCAGAGCCTCCCCTGTGCTGAAACTTAATTGCCAAAGAGGATCACTGCATTTGTCACTACCGGGAAATAGTGTTTGTCTCACAGCTGTGGGAGTTCTCAGAGGATTGAGAAACCGCATGGGAGGTCACAGCGCTTCATAGGGTTACAAAATGTCCTGTTCCTCGCTGGAGAGCCTCCCATACCTGACAGCCCTGGTAGCAGTGGCTCTTGGCCAATGCTTGGCTCAGCAACTGAGTGCATTCCATACTGCAAAGCAGAGAGACCAGCATGCTGCTTTTTTTCCTTCTCTATCCACATCACGTGGTGGTGATGAACACTAGCTCTCTACTTCCTTGTAAAATCCACAATTCATCTTTCAAAGCGAATTTTCTTTCTTTACCTTATTTTCATTAACACTGGTGTAGAACAATTATCTTTGCTGGAGAGGGAAGTCACTAGTCATGCTTTGCTGGCTTTTTGGATATAGTAAGAAAGTCTGCATCAGAAGAAGTTCTGCTTTCCTGACTACTTGAAGAGAAATAATGGAAGTCTGGAGTTTGGGGGATTGTGCACTACAGGGATGCCTAGATGAAACTGCATTCAGGCTCTGTTGAACACAAACCTGTTTGCATCTGGCACAGCACACACAAAAGAGAAAATTCAATAGTTTTCTCTTGGCAACAATCTCAGCCTGTATTTGGTGCTTTCTCTGTACCTCTTCAATTCTGCTCTGCCTTTCGCGCCGAGGGAGCTGCACATCTTGTTCAAGATGCACATGTCCATTTCACCTCCGTGCTGGGTCCATGCTTCAGTGAGGTGCAGTTTTACTCTTTTGTAACGATCAGAATTATCACAGACCGGTAAATCAGTTCAAGAAAGTTATCTCAAGCCTTCTTGAGATTGTTTTATTGGGGAAGAAAACCTTCTTTTAGTAGCTGTGACTGTGCACTCAGTCAGCCTGACTTTGTTTGGCTTCCATCAGTACCTTTTGCCCCAGTAATTTCTTTGGGGCCAGCGAATATTAATTTATTTGTTTCAAGACCAGTTTTGGTTTGAATATTTTTGGATTTCTGCCAGATCAGACTTTGCAGAGCATTCTCACCCTGTTCAAAAGGCAACTCACAGGAAAGACATGTTTTTGCCTTCAACAGATAAGCTGTGCAATCTCCTCCTCAGTCCCACGCAGCCAGTCAGCTCTGCTCACACACTGGTACCTTCTCATTCATCCCTCTTCAAACAGTCACCCTCCAACGGTGTGGCAGATGCCACATCCCTTGGAGGCCGTCTGTGGTGCTATGGCACCCCCGTCAAACAAGCCACTGCCATGGATCTGATGCCAAAGAATGACACAAAGCCCATAGACCTGCAAAATTATGGAAAACTAGATTTAAAGCTGAAACAAGAAAACAAAGCCTTCAATTAAAAACATGCGTGCTGCTTCTGGGTCCATGCTGATGCCTCTAACTACAAAAAAAAAGTAGAATTGAAGTTGGAAACAGGACATCTCAACAAGGCCCCATCATCCACAGGCACAGAGAACAAGAACAGGGTGAGGCTCAGCTGAACTCTGGGGACTTGGGAGTGGAGGTGCACAAGGTGTCCCAAAATTGCAGTGCAGAGGTGAATCGGTCCACTTACTGGGACAACCAGAGATAACTCATGCTCACCTCCAGCTTGCAGAGGTGAGAGTGGCTACAACAGGACAACCATATCACTGTTGTGACACTTGGCTTGAAACCACACAGGCGCACCAGCTAGCCCTCTTTTTCACCAGCTTTCCATCTTTTCTGTGCCAACCCCTTGCAAATGCCCACCCTGCGCGTGCTGGGAGCAGAGAAGCAGGCACGAGCAGACGCTGCTCTCTGAAGGCCAGTGCACCATCAAATAATATTTTCTTTTTTTTTAATTTTTACCTCATGCTTATGAACAGCCTCTGTAACAGAAATAACTTCGGGGTTTTCACTTTGCTTTCATAAGCTTGGCCCTCACTACTCGCTTTACACACATATAGAAATGTCAGTTGAAATACTTCTATTAAGATGTTTCCATATTATAGATGTGGCTTTTTGGAACGGCACTGTCTTTATGCTCTTTCCCAACTTAAACCTACCTGAGTTTTGAGCCAACCCAAACCAAATGTCACTTCTTTTACACTTCTACTTTTTCCAAGAGTTTTTCTTTCATTCCTGTTTAGCTTGATCTAAAGCAGAATCCTTGATTTTTTAAAATCCTCAAAGTAAAAAAATGCAAACCCCAGGCATTTCAACCACTGCTCAGCACAAAGCATCCTCCCTCAGCAGATACGCTGCACTGGGTGGCACTGCCGATATTTCAACCCAGCAAACACCAGGATGATGAGCACCAGGGTGGGTGAGGAATACACCCTGGTCTGCTGGGTCCATTGTTCCTTCAGAGCAGCATCAAGGGACACCACTTCTTCATGTAGCCCTCAGGGGCTACTGAACAACCTTGGTTGCTGGGCCAGAGCTGTGACAGGTGAGGAATATGAATGCCAACTCCTAAATGCTCTTTGGAGATTCCTCAGCAAATGCCAGCAGTCAGCTCATCCAAAGAGAGCAACAGAAACTGGGTGTACTGGGAAGATGTTGGACATACAGATACCAGCTCTGCCAGGAGAGCAAACCTCTCCTTCAGAACTGGGGGATCTTCTTAGCTTGAAGAAAGGAGAGAGTACCAAAATTGGATTCCCAGCCCTTGAGAAATTGTCTTCTGTTGCTCTTCTAGGAGGCTTTGGTAGTGCAACAGCATGAAAAGAGCTCCTAGAAGCCCGTAAGACAAGTCCAGAGCAGAAGTAGCCTCAAAGGAATGCTGCGTGCAGCAGCAGGGGCTTCCCACAGGGCAGTAGATGGCTGGTATTAGTCTTCAGCATCTCTTTTGCTAAAACTTTCTCAGATTTTTTCTGAAGCTGGTTTGGCCAGCCTGCTTCCCACCATCTCCTGGAGCACTCTCACTTGTTACTTGACTAACTTCTCCCTCCATCGCAGAGCCAGCGCATTCCCAGGTATGAAATGCTGCACTGGGGGATGAGCATCATCACAGCGTTGCAGCTCGGCCTCCCTCCTGCTCCCAGCCTCTCCACACATCAGGGCCAGTGACAGCACTGTTTTCTGCTGGTTCATGTCTAGACCATGACCCTAGAGCAGCTGGAATGCAGGAAAATGGTCCTTTTCATCAGCTTCTGTTACAGGCCCTAATCCCACAGGAATTTTTATAAATTCCTACTCAATTACTCTGTATTTTCTGAGCCTGCTCCTAAACAGGGCTATTGCACTAGATCCTAACTTCTATAATAAAAGGCTTCCTGGAGGTTGAATCTTTCCAGTTTAATTTCCCAAAGGCTTAGGATCACAGAAGGGTTGGTGCTACTTCCCACCAACTGCCTCCTCCCAACTCCATACAAAAGGCTGAAATCTCATTTTCCAGCTCCAAAACCATTAAAAACAGAAAATCACATTTTATTTGCCATACAGTGTTGATTTGTCACAAAAATACCAGTATAAAACATACACCGAGTTATGCAGCTTGGGCAACAAGCCACTATCCATACTCCTTCATGTCCAGAGTCAGTGACAAAGCCCTGAGACAGCTAGAAACCTTGCTGTGTTGTTTGCAAGGAACCATTATCAAGTAAGAGAGACATTCCTCAGCGCACAAAATGTATTCATTCAATCCATAGGTCTTTTTTTCTTTATCAGGAATTCACTTGTAATACAAGTGAAGTCAGGTTCTCTTAACCTAACCCCCTCCTGGCTAGGTAAAAGTGTAAGTCCGTGTTCCCAAATGCATTACAAACATCCAAACTTTTCAATAATCTCATTAATTCTGAAATTTTGGAGGAACAGCACTACAAGGCAGTTGTAACCTTCACTTGGGGTAAAGTTCTGCTTCTTTTAGCTCTACCACAATGTTGATAACACTGTTTGAATCTTTAAAAACCACTTTGGGTCTTCTTTGAAAGGGAAAACCCAAGCCTGAGTGAAAGATGCAGAAAACTAACTGAAAGGTAAAGCCTTGGTGAGTGTAGGAAAGCAAATGCACCAGAAATCAATCATTACTATTTCATTCTGTAGAGCCTAAGGACAAAATATCGAAAAACAGGACTTTTGAACTATAGACAGATGAATGCTGAGCATGGGGCATGACACAAAGATGGCTCTTCGGGGATCCCAAGGGGAATAATGAGAAATAGAAAAAACGTCCATTGCTTTTCACCACGTTAAGGTCTTATTTCCTGTGATGGCCATTTTTGCCACTCAATATTTCGATGCACAGACAAAACGCACGCACACTGTAGTCAACATCAAATCCTGAGCAGTCTCACAGCACTGAGCAAGACTTAGCCAGAGTAAAATCATTCTTGTTTCCCGAGCTACAGTGCCAGGCAGCAGCGCACCCATTCAGCCCTCTGCCGACTGCACGCTACTGTGGATGGCAAAGCGCAGCCGAAGGCAGTAACTGCCGGTAGCACATCGGGGCATGCAAGCTCAGCATCTTTTGGCTCAAGTTCCCTGTTGCTGGGGAGCACCAGAATGTGTCTTTGTTCTCTTCCACACCTGTATCTGCAGTCCAGCTGGATACTGGTTGGATGGGATTAAGCATGCCCAGTCCATCAGCCTGGGGAGCCTGCAATGCATTTTCCTGCCCTCTCAACTAAAATATCTGGGGAGTCCTCAGAGTCTAATTTACCTGTTCCTCCCCAGACATACAGCACTAAAAATAAATAATATGGCTCACTTTCATTTGGGGGTTTTGAAGGGCAAGAGGGTTGATTTGCTGCTTCTTCCCGTTGTTTTGCATTGTCACTTTCTAATAGTTAAAGAAAAAAAAACACAAAAAAACCCGCACGTTAAAAAATTGTCATCCAAATGGCCATCTCATTTTTGAGTGTATACGAAGCCAGACACAGTAGGAATCTCGTGTTCCTTTTCCTTCTTTGGATCTACAACATGGCTGTATCTTTCTCCTCGGTGACACTCCAGATAGGGACCCCAGTTTGCCGCAGGCTTGCAGCAGCTTACAATGCGCTGGAAAGAGAAAACAAGAGGCATTTGATGTCTTACTTTAGTCTGGGCTATTGTTCAAGCTCAGTAAAGCTGTAACTCAACAAATGGCAAACAAATCACTGAAGTTGTTGTTTGTCTGGTTTTTTAAAAATCATTTCAAATGTATTTGAATTCAGCAGATTCTGGACACTGAAGTCAAACAAGCATGGAAAGCCATGACCAACAGGCCTCTGGCAAAGCTTGGCAAGAGATCTCAGATCTTGCACTTGCTCATTTCTGTGAGGAAACTCCAGAAAATGGTACAGGGATAGAGAGTGATAGAAATTCTTCAGAGAATTTAAAGCAACTGGAATAACAACAAAAACCATGGAAACATGGAAATCACTCTTACATGTGTGGTGCACTCCCAGAGAATTAGACTCTACCTTCTTATCAGAACACAGCAGGGTAAATTTGCCTCTGATGCAACTACCAGAGGTGTCTTTTGGTCTAAAATCCAGTTAATGAACAGATCAAAGTACTGAACATAGTAACAAAGTACTTTCTTCTTTTTGAGAAGG